ACCCACCACTGTCACCAGAACTACCACATTTAACACTTTTATGGTATCTTAACATTCACAAACTACTTCACATATTATTTATTTTAGTCCTCAAAACAACTTTGTCAAATAGAACGAATAAGCATAGCTTTTCAGTTTAGAAAATTGAAACCCTGCTGCTCAGAGCGGTGGAGGGATTGGGGAAAGGTCACTGAACCAGTAAGGAGCAGCCATTCTTCTCTCAACAGGACTGACTGATGGCTTCCCAGTCTCTCTCCATGTCACATCTCTCCTTTAAGCCCCAGAGTCCACATCAACCAAGTGCTCCAAATGCAAAGTCTCCGGGGTGAGCCTGTAGTGTTCTCCCATAGCCTCTTTCTCTCCGTGATCTTTCCCTTCCACATGGAACAATGTTTCTTATCTTCTCAGATGTGTAAACCAAAAATCTAGGCATCACCTCTATCCTTTCTGAATGTTGTCTCCACATGCATATATATTCTACCCACTTTCTATAGCTTCTATCTTCTGAGTATTTCTCTGATCTGCCCACTTCTTGGTCTCCACCATGAACACCATAGTCCAAGTTCCCATCTCTCATACTGACAGTATTTCTATATACACATTCTACCTTTCCTTCACCTCTCCCACTCCATCCATTCTCCATGTTGTAGCTACAGGGATCACATGATTCCTCTGCTTCATATCTTTGGTTGGCTTTACAGTTGATGGTTTGCCCCATCAAAACTCATGCTGAACTGGCATTGCCAAAGTAATTTTGAAAGATTGTGGCATCTTTGAGAGATGTTTGGGTCATGTGGACTCTGCACTCAGAAAATAATTAATATAGTCCTTGAGAGAGTAGGGTAGTGATTGTGAGAATGGGCTGTCATAGCGTCTGGGCTGTCACCCCTTTATTCCTTTACCTGTGTCACACATGCTTATTTGACCTAACACTTTTTTTCTGCCATGTTATGGTTCAGCATGAGTGCTCACTAGGTGTGATGATGCCTAATTTTCCCTGCTTCCAGCTGCGAATTAATAAACCTCTTTCCTTGATAAATGTCCTAGTCTTATTTTTAAAAATAATTTTATTGAGAAACAAATAGCAATGAGACAGTTTCAAAATGGATTAGTAGGACAGTTTCAATAATTAATACACTGCATATTGTTGTCTTAGTGGTTATTCACTGTACAAGATGCAGACATGATATCCTGTCCACAAATACTATTAGAACAAATCTTTCTATTCACTGAATTAAGAGAATGTAGCTGTATATCTATCCTAACTATTTTGAATATACAGATACAACATGGTCCTTCATTTGCATCCCCTTTTTTGTTTAGTTTTTGTCAGAGAAGGGTATTCTATTGTCATTTAAATATTATAGTGCAAGAATTCAGCAAAATATTCCAATGTAGTCCAGTAGTCCTTAATAGTAGTGGGTTTTCTGTAAGACTGGCAATGTCAGAAGTTGTTGACTTGAGCCTTTTACAGCTCAGCATATTAATATGGCTTTACTTTTTATACTTCGTTTTCATACTTTTCTGATGGATGGTTAAGACCAAGATAAAGCAAGACCTATATAACAAGAAATGTAGCTTTTGTATCTGATAAGGTCAGTCAAATACCCTCAGGGTTTATCCTGAAACCCTATACTGCAGTTTATAGATCCTTTGTCAGTGTCAGCCATTTGGATGAGTCACAGTCATTGCTTGACCAATTTGCTCTCCATGAAAGCCTGAGAGAATGTTTTCTTTCCATGTGATGTATCCTAGTCTTAGATACTCTCTAATAGCAACAGAAAATGACTAAGACATCATAGTGCTTTAGTCAAAGAATCCTTAGTGTGCTGCATAATGAGCACTGTACTTTGAGCCCTGGGTCTTCCTAGCCAGATTCTTTCCTTCAGCCCTTTGCTTTCACCTCATGGGCTGTTTTTATCTTATCCAAGCCATCCAGGTCTCCTCTCTGCTGAGAGCCTTCACACTGGATGCTCCCTCTGTCTGGACAGCTGCCACTCATCTGCTGTCACCTGCTTTAGCTCCAACATCACTGCCTCAGGGAAGTCTTCCCTGCTTGCCAGGTTTACACTGGGAACATGTCTCCTTTATTCCATGTAAGTACATATTTGTCTGTTTTCTCATTTTCAGCTGTTACTGCCAATGCCCTGCATACTCTGTGATAGCTTCTGATTGTTGCATCCACTGTTGTCAAGCACGGGGGCTGGTACTTGTTAGACATTTGGTAAATACGTGTTAGAGTCACATTCAGACTGCTGGCTCCAAATATGAAGTGCAGCACACCTAGTCCCAGTGAAGGGTGCCCAAGTGCCTAGCTCATTAAATGAAAAGAAATCAGGGGCTTGGGAGGCTCGGAAACTAAAGCTTAGAAATGAAATTCTGAGCCAACATGGTACATTTTAGCACTGTCAAAGGAAGTTTATGATTTAAAATCACTAATAGTCAACTATGTAGGAAGCAGTACTTTGGCCTTCACCACCAGTGTAAAACTAATGTACAGAAAGGATTACGGTGGGATTTATTCAACTTTCACTAAAATAACAAGAAGCCATATTTCATGAACTTCCCTATTATATAGCACTTTAGATAGAGGTGTGAGTGAGTGAGGTGTTCTAGTCATGCGCTCCCAGCTTGTTAAGAATGGGAGCACCATTTAAAATTAGTTTTATATCTGTAATGAGTTGGGAGACACCTTACTACTCCTTGAAATTTCAATTAATAAGGTAAGTACTTACTTTTTTATATAGTCTACATACAGTGCCAGATAACAGAAAATTCATTTGGCAAAATGCTGGTTGACACCTCTCTGAGTATAATCAGAGAAAAACTGGACAGACGTTAAATATAATGAGCAAAGCTCAGTTCTCTGCACATCTCGTCTGCCCCATTCTCCAGAGGTTTTCCTGTGCAGTGGGATCCCCTCTTCGCTGCTGAATTCCTTAGGATCTTGGCCACTGCCAGCAGATGTGTCTGTCTCCTCTGGCAGTCTGCTAAGGCAACTTGGGGAAACTTAGCTTGGCAATGTGGAAACCTCCATTTTTAGAATCATTTCCCCAAATAAACATTTCACTTTCTTAACATAAAGACCCTATTATGTTATATATAACCTGAAGTAATTCTCTTTCTTTGGAATTCTGCTTGATTATGGTCAGATTCAACTCTAGCCCAAAGGCCTTCACCATAGCTTCTCCCAGCTTCTTATAAAATACTATTGGGTAATTTAGGTTCTCTCTCAAATGACAACATATCTCTTCAGTACCTAATATAAAGCACAAAAACAAAAAACAAGCAAAAAGTCTCCCTATGTTACTTTCTCTTTTCTTTTCTTCATTTCTCCATTTCATTTAATATACATTTATTGAAGGTCTACTATGTGCCCGGCACTGTTTCAATCAATGGGATAAACAGTGAAACAAAGAACGCATAAAGTCACTGTTCTTCTGAAATTTGTCCTCACGTGTCCTTTATATGTGAAAATGGACAAAGGTAGGAAGTGGTACAGTGGTACAAGTGGAGGGAGAGTCATATATTTCAAAGGAAAGACATTTCTGAATTAAAATTTGTCCTTTGTTTGAAGTTTAGAGAAACCAGTTGTTCTTAAATAATGGTAATCTATTGCCCATAACAAGTCTGATGAGGATTTATTTTTAGAATACTGGTCCAAATTTTGAAAAGTCAAGCTTGAAAATCTGCATGGTAGTTTTCAGGCTGGCTTAGAAAAAATATCATTATTAACTAATTACTTCCGATGTGGTGTTTATCTAAATAGGGTGCTCCGTTTTCACTGTGTCTTTTTTTCCAGGCCTTTGTGGGAAGCCCCTTGAGAATAGGGCAATATATCAGTCATCTCAGGATATACAGGACTTTATGGAATGCCTCATATAGAAAGGTCAGTATCTAACAAAACATTTTATTGAAATAAAAATGTATGTTCAGATGATTATCAAGATTGGTCTTCATACTGGTAAGATAAATGAACTTCCACAGTTTCAGAAAACCATGGTATCTCCCAAAAGTAAAATAAATGACTAGATTTCTGGCTCTTTTTAATAATGCAGAATATTCATAACTTAAGTATAATGATTAATTGTAAAATGAAGCTTGTATTTGTGGGGTTTTGTAGCACTCAGCAATTAATTTTTTGTAAAACCATATGCAAAAAATACATTCACAAATATAGATAAAATATACAAACACATATTTACAGAAATGATTCATATAACCATTTCATTGTGTGTAATTCTCTTCTGTCCCAAGGTTTTGGGGAGCTAGAGAGAGGAAGGAATGGACACTTCCCCCCGGCTACACAAGCTACTGGTCTCAGAGTTTAAAATCCAAGGGGAGCTTCATGTGTGTGCAACTTCAAAGAGGGAAATCCTGTAACTCTATCAATTAAAAGCATAACCTATGCTACCTTTATATTGTAGAAGTTGAAAGTTCACTAGTACTGATAAGTTAATGTTAAAAAATTTGTAGTATCTATTGTCATTGTATTGTATCAAAAGCAAATGATCCTAAAAGAGTTGATTTAGTACTTAAATTACCTACCTGGATTTCAAACTTATGATCTAGGTAAATCTTAAAATTTTGGCTCATATTTTCCCCTAGGAGCTCATGATTAATTTAGAATATGAAAATTTCAGTTTCCTGAGAAAGTTATGTGATTAAGATAAAATTGAAGCAGTAATGCAGTGTATAGAAATTCCTATTAGCTACACATGTAAAGCATTCAGGAACAGTGGTACATTCTTCAAGCAGATGTACTTTATGTCAAACTTGGGTTCAACTCTCTGCTTTACTGTATACTAGAGATTCAGGGCAACATACTTGACCTTTCTAAGCTTCAGCTTCTGGTCTCAAAATAGCAAAAACAACACCCAATAAAAAAGGCTCATGTCAGGATCAAATCGAATAATAGATGTAAGTGCGCTGCACAGTGACTGGGGCATGATAAACACTACAAGTGAAGCTGTTTTTATTTTGATGCATGAAATAGTTACCTTATTGACAGGAATAATGTTTTTGACATTGAAGTAGAAGCCGAAATACACCATGTTGAAAACGCCATGACGTCCCAATGTTGCTGTAAATCCTTTGTTGAGGCCTCGCAGTCCCAAACCATCCTTCTTAATGATTTCTCTTGCATAAGTCAAAGTAGAGGGTTGCTGTGGGAGGGAAAACCAAAGCCAGAGAGCTAATCTTTAGAACTGTGAAATAGAATAAATTACAGTACAACTTCTTTTTAGGCCAGAATTAGTAACTGTGTTTTTCTCAAACATATTCACACCTAGATGTGTGCTTTTGAAAATCAGAAAATGCAAAAGCAAACAAAATTGCATGTATATCAACAGGCTTTATAGGAAAGATTGTTGGCAAGGATAAACATCTGTGGTGAAATTAGTGGAACTAACATCACGTGATAACTCTTACCACTTTCAATATGTAAATAATTGGATCCAATTCTGGATTATCTAGTCTAATTGAAGGGATTAATCATATAGATAAATTAGTAATCTATAGCTATGTATCATCAAAAAGGAATTCATAATTGGGTTCTGAATCAAGTATATTACCTTTCTAATTATGCTTTTCTAAAGTGAATAGCAAAATTAGTCTTGATTCCATTGCTTCAGTGGTGTAAGATGCTGGTAGGGTAGAAATCAGCCATGGATATCCAGAGGTACCGTCCTCAAGAAGGTGGGCAATCAGCATGTGTATCTCTCAATGTGATAAGTTACAAATTCATGGGTTGGGAGTACTAGGTTACTTGTAATTTATTCTTTTGCTATCCTCTGATTGATTACCAAAGGCTGACGCACCTTGGCTGCTAGAATCCAATCTGCTTCTACATTTGAAACCTGCTAAACATCTCACTGCAGCTTGCTCTGAGGTATATAATTTGCAGCAATATAATCACAGTCTTTCACATAGGTTAGCACTGACATGACATTTGTTTGATATTTTACGGGAGTAGGTTGCTGGAGTGGTCACAGAAATCTGCTGTGTTTCAGAAATAAAAGTGTTTTCTTGGGCCAGCCTGATAGCTCAGTGGACCAAAACGCCTGCTTAGGCAAAGCACAGTGCCCTGGGTTTGATCCCTAGCATGCTGTGTCAGCCCTGCCTCAAGGATGCACTGGGATGGCGATGGACACTGGGCATGGTGGTGTGCACCTGTAATCCCAGCACTCGGGAGGCTGAAAACGGGATCACAATGAGTCCAATCTGCATAGTGAGACCCTGTACGAAATACATAAAAAAGTGTTTTCTTATCATGTGTAATTAAGGTTACTTGGGCAAAACAGAAAGGAACAAATCCAATTAAGGCTTTGTATCCAAATTGCATTTATAGTTAATTAACATAATGTATTTAAATGAACTTATTTATACAGTAAAATCCTAGAGTTCTGCTGATAAATTTTGAAAATAGTAGTTACAGTTTTATACTCCATTTCATCTTTCCACCTAAGACGATTAATTATGTGTTATAGTAATCTTAAAGACAAATTTCTTTGCATATGAATATGCTGTGTAAGAATAGATCTCACAATGATAAAAGACATACAGGAAAACAGAAAGACTCTCAGAAGGTTACAGTTCTCTCTGCATTGGACAACATGGGACTTTTTGGTTTGTGTTTTGGCACCCTGACCAAATAATAGTAGAATTATTTATTTTGATTTTCACAAGAGATGAGGACAAATGGAGCAGAAGGTCACTTCTGTGTCAGTGCGGAGGGAATGATCTGGCCACTGTCGTCTGCTCTGAGCTGGCCTCCCTGGGGAGGGAGAACAGGGCTGAGGTAAAGCTGGCCAGGTGGCAAGTGCTGCACCCCTAACCTAAGCTTGCTTCCCATCTCGCTTACCCAAGGTCTTGAGAGCAGGTGCATCCAGGTGGGGCGGAAGCCATCAGGTTCTACCGCACAGTGGAAACAGTCTTTCATAAAAGTACAGGTAACAAGAGCTTTCCTAAAAAATGGCCTCAAAGCTGTTTCTACCATCTAAAAAACCCTACTTCCCTAAGCCATCAAAATGTTGTTCATCTTTTTCACTGTCTTGAAAGGAGGAGACTTTTACTTGATCTTGGTGAGGGCTGACAAACATACAAATGGAATATGTGGATCGTCTACTTCCTTTGGCCATGTGGGTACAGGAAAGCACAGCACATAGATTTTAAGCTGCTGCTGCCTTGACCTGGAACTCTAGCTGCCACAAATTTAGTAAATCAGAAGGTAACGCAGTAACCAAAAGTAGGCACTTAATGCCAAACAGTTCGAGGCTTGAGCCTCAGTAACGCCATCTGCTAACTTTGGCAATATTTTATCCTCTATGATATATCCTCACTTCCCTGACTTGTGGGTGTGGATAATAGTAGAATCTTTTTATAGTGTTATTGTGATGGTAAATAAGTGAATGAACTTAGTCCATTATAATCCTTCACTTATAATTAGGTGTTAATAACAGTAGTTGTGCTGATAATCATAAAAGTGGTTCTATTATTTTTTCCATAATTTTATTGAGAAACAAATAGCAATGAGACAGTTTCAAATCAAATTGGTAGGACAGTTTTAATAATTAACACATTGCATACTGTCTTCCTAGTGGTTATTTATTGTTCAAGATGCAGACATGATATCCTATTTACAAACACTATTAGAACAAATCCCTTTATTCATTGAATTAAGAGAATGTAGCTATATATCTATCCTAACCATTTTGAATATACAGATACAAAATGGTCATTCCTCTGTATCCCCCCTTTTTTTGTTTAGTTCCATCATTTAAATATTATAGGTGTATGAACTCAGCAAAATATTCCAAAAGAGTCCGGTAGCTCATAATAGTATTGGGTCTTCCACATGACTGGCAATGCCGGAAGTTGTTGACCTGAGTCCCCAGCAGCTCAACATAACAACATAGCTTTATTTCTTATACGTCGTTTTTATACTTTTCTGCTGGATAGTTAAGACCAAGATAAAACAAGACCTGTGTAACAAGAATTGTAGCTTTTTTTTTTCTTTCTTTTTTTTTTGGAACTGGGGATTGAACTCAGATCCTTGCATTTATGTCAAGCGCTTATCCTACTGAGCCATCTCCCAGGCCAAGAATTGTAGCTTTTGTATCTGATAAGGTCAGTTAAATTCCCTCAGGATTCATCCTGAGACCCTGTACTGCAGTTTGTAGATCGTTTGTCAGTGTCAGCCATGTGGATGAGTCACGGCCATTGCTTGACCAATTTGCTCTCTGTGATAGCCTGAAAGTGGTTCTATTAATAACAGGTAATTTTCCCTTCCTTCCTTCTTCCTCTCTACCTCCCTCCCTTCTGTCTTTCCTTCCTTCCTTCCTTCCTTCCTTCCTTCCTTCCTTCCTTCCTTCCTTCCTCATACCCCTCATTCCTTTTCCTTACCCTTTTTCTTTGTGTGGGGCTAGAGATTGAGTCAGGGCCTTTGCACTGAGCTATCTATATTCCTGGTCCTTTAAATTTTTGTGGTTTTTTGAAAATTTTGAGCCAGGGTTTCACTAAGCTGCAAAGTTTCCCAGGATGGTTTTTTTTTTTTAACTTGTAGTCCTCCTGCCCTTGGGGGTAATTTTTTTTTTCTTGTTTTTTAGTTGAAGGCACTGACAAAACATGGAAGGTAATTCGAGGGTGAGAAAAAGATATGCTTAATTAATTTTTTTTCTTCTGACCATCTTCTTTCCTTCCCCAGTGCTCTGGATCCTTGTGATGAAGTTTATCAGAAATGCATGCAGAAGGTAACATAGCAGATCTAAGATTAAGCAGAACCCAAATCCTGGCTGGAGAGTTTCCATGCACATATCTCACTCCAGAAGCACGCCTCTCTACAGCAACTGGCGGGTCCTGTAAATCGGCCTCTTCCCCATCGCTCAAAGTCAGCATCATTGGTGAGAACTCCACATTTGGCAAGCGCATAGACTACAGAAGCAGTGGCAGGCGCGCAAGCTGGACCTCTGTCTCCACCGCACATTACAGCCCATGGCACACTTTCCTGTATGTTATTAGGTACCCGGAACACAGGAAGTGCTCTTAAATGTTACCCCTATCACAGATGCTCGGGACTTTATGTATTTTGGGTTATTTAACCTTCCTCACAAGTGTGTGAGACAGATATTAGTAATACCCTCATTTTTTTTATTAATTTTATTGAGAAACAAATAGCAATGGGATAGATTCAAAACAGGCTAGTAGGACAGCTACAATAATGAATACATTGCATATTGTTGTCTTTGTAGTAGCTATTCATAGTACAAGATGCAGACATGATATCCTGTGCAAACACTATTAGTACAAATATTTCTATTCATTGAATTAAGAGAAAGTAGCTGTATATCTATCCTAATATATATATATCACTACAAAAATATCCTTCATTTATATCCCCCTTTTTTGTTTACTTTTGTCAGAGATGGGTATTCCATTGCCATTTAAGTATTGTAAGTGTGTGAATTCAGAAAAATAATCCAATATAGTCCAGTAGTCCATAACAGTAGTGGGTTATCCATAGGACTGGCAATGTCAGAAGTTGTTGACTTGAGCCTTGTGCAGCTCAGCATATTAATATGGCTTTACTTTTTATACCTTATTTTTATACTTTTGTGCGGGATGGTTAAGACCAAGATAAAGAAAGACCTGTATAACAAGAAATGAGCATTACCCTCATTTGATAGATGACTAGAAATCAAGTTACTCACCTAAGACCAGAGTAAGGGGCAGCCCAAGTGAGGCTCAGGGCTCCAAATCTGTGCCTTCATTCATTTCCTGGTTCCTCCATCCTAACCTAGCTAATTGCTTCTTTCAACAACCCTGTCAGGTGAGCTGCAGGTACTTCATATTCCGTATATTTTTACAATAAGGAAACTGAGGAGAATGAAGTAATGTCCAGGTAAAGTGCTGCTGATAAATGGCTTAACTGGAATTCAGCTTCCAATTCAGTGCTGTTCTTACACACGGGTGGAAAGATTTTCAGAGTTTGGTAAACCATCTGATACAGGTAATAGACATACAATAGTGCAAATACACTCTTCTGGAAAGTAGGGGCTTGGGATAAAGAAAAAACTGCAGTACCAATGCCTGTAAAACTCAGAGGTAAAAGTATGGTACTGAGGTTTTTTGCTTCATTCAGGGATGTGTATCACACATGTGTAAGCAA